TTTCTGGATTAAATATTGAACTACTGTCTATATATTGTTATAAATTGCTTTATCACTTGACATTGTATTGAAAACATTTTACATTGATAAAAATTTAAATAACGTACTGAGATTCTTTCTTCTTTGTCTACTCTCCCCTCCCTCACTGTGTTTGTTTGATTGTTTTTGCGATGGTTGTCTCGCATAGTATCACAGACTGACCTCAGGCTGGACATATAACTGAGGATGACTTTAAATTTCTCATCCTCCTGCCTCTAGCTCGTAAGTGCTGGATTATAGGAGTGTGCTACCATTCCTAGCCCTACATTGGGATCCTTCCTTCCTTCCTTCCTTTTTTTTTTTTAAGATTGTACTTATTTATTGATTATGTATATAGTGTTCTGCCTACATGCATGCCTGCAGGACAGAAGAGGGCACCAGATCTCATCATAGATTGTGAGCCACCATGTGGTTGCTGGGAATTGAACTTGGGACCTTTGGAAAAGCAGCCAGTGCTCTTAGCCTCTGAGCCATCTCTCCAGCCCCAGGGCTTTCTTTTTTATTTTACTTTCTATGTGCTTGTGTGCACACATGTGGGAGCATACCACAGTGCATGCTTTGTATCCTGGAACAATGTGGTGAAATCTGTTACATCTATCCACCTTGTCAAGCTTGGTGGCAAGTACCTTTGCTTCTTGAACCACCTAACTGACCTCTACATTAAGCTTCTTTAAAGAGCCGGGTGGTGCTGGTGCACGCCTTTAATCCCAGCACTCAGGAGGCAGAGGCAGGTGGATCTCTATGAGTTTGAAGCCTGCCTGGTCTACAGAGCTAGTTCTAGGACAGCCAAGTCTACACACAGAAACTCTGTCTCACCACACTCCCCATAAAGGACATAGATGCTAATGTACATGGCACAATCAAACTCTGAAGATTGGTCTTTAGATTTATATGTGGTATGTTGGTTTGTGTTGGTGCTAAGGATTGGATCCAGGGTGTCATACATCCCAGGTGAAGTGCTACTACCATTGAGCTGTTCTCTAGCCCCTAAATGTGCTTTTCAACTTCTAGATTTTAAAGTTTATAGGCAACATTGAGTCAAGTTAACGTTAATCCATCATGTTAATGGATCTTTGTCCAGTTTTTTAATAACATGACTGTTCATATCATATTGTACATGTTCATATCATAACAGTGATTCACATATTTCCTTCAGATTTTCCTCTGCCAAATGGGAAGAATGAAGAACCTGATTCTCCACCCGCAAAGAAAAAAAGAATGGACTTTTTCCAGACTTATGATGCAGAATATATAAAATTTGGCTTTATTATCTGTTCTGGATCGAAAGAAAGTTCACCAAGAGCACAGTGTGTCATTTGTGGAGAAATCTTACCTAGAGAAAGTATGGTGCCAGTAAGCCTCTCTAATCACTTGAAGGCAAAACATTCTGAACTAGAGAACAAGCCAGTAGACTTTTTTGAAGAAAAATCACTTGAGATGGAATGTCAAGACAGTCCTTTAAACAAATGTCTACTAGTTGAAGAGTCACTCGTGAAAGCTTCTTATTTAATTGCTTTCCAAATTGCCGCCAGGAAGAAACCATTCTCCATTGCTGAAGAATTGATTAAGCCATATTTAGTAGAAATGTGTTCAGAAGTTTTGGGTTCAAGTGCTGGAGACAAAATGAAAACTATTCCTCTTTCTAATAACACAATTGAGTGCAGGATCAACAAATTGTCTGCAGACATTGAAGACCAGCTGGTTCAGAAGCTCAGAGACTCCAAGTGGTTTGCCCTTCAGATAGACGAGTCACCAGCGACCTCAGGGGTCACCCTTCTCCTATGCTACGTTCGCTTCATCGATTATGACTGTGGTGATGTGAAAGAAGAGTTATTATTTTGTACTGAAATGCCTTCTCCAAGCACTGATCTTGAAGTGTTTGAACTCATAAATAAATACATTGATAGTAGATCTCTGAATTGGGACCATTGTGTTGGTTTCTGTACTGATGGGGTCACAAGCACAAGTGATAGACGTTCTTGTTTAAAGTCAAAAATTCAAGAAATCACCAAGAATACAGTGGTATTCACACATTGTTTTATTCACCGTGAACACTTAGCTGCTGAAAAGCTATCTCCATGCTTACATGAAATTCTTTTGCAGTCAGCACAAATTTTAAGCTTTGTAAAGAACAGTGCCTCAGACTCACAAATGTTGACAATTTTGTGTGAAGAGATGGGATCGGAGCATGTGAATTTACCTCTTAATGCCGAACTTCGGTGGCTGTCGAGAGGGAGAATTTTAACAAGATTATTTGAACTGAGACAGGAAATTGAAATACTTTTAAATCAAAAGCATTCAGATTTGGCCAGGTATTTCCATGACAAGGAATGGGTTGCAAAGCTAGCCTATTTAGCAGATATGTTTTCACTTATAAATAAATTAAATTCTGGTCTTCAAGGGACCATGGCAACTCTTTTCAATTTGTATAATAAGGTTGACATATTTAAGAAAAAGCTAAAAACATGGTTGAAGCGCACACAAGAAGATGACTATGATATGTTCCCTTTATTTTCTGAGTTCTTAGACTCATCAGATGTAAGTGTGAAAAGCATCACTAACATTATTGTTGAGCACCTAGAAGGACTTTCTCAGATTTTCCATGACTGTTACCCACCAGAAGAGGACTTGCGTTTGGGAAATCTGTGGCTCATTGATCCCTTCGCCAGTCACCAGAATAACAGCCTCACTGACTCTGAAGAAGAAAAACTAGCAGCATTATCTTCAGATACAAGCCTGCAGTCAGCTTATAAATCAATGTCTGTAACTCAGTTTTGGGTAAGGGCAAAGACAAGCCACCCGGAACTCCATGAAAAGGCAGTGAAACTCTTACTGCCCTTTTCCACATTCTGTTTGTGCGATGCCACCTTTTCAGCCTTGACCGCATCGAAACAAAGAAACCTGCTGGGTTTTGGTCCTGCCCTAAGACTTGCAGTCACATCATTAGTTCCAAGGATAGAAAAGTTAGTAAAGGAGAAAGAGTAATATCCATATTGCTTATTGTCAGAGTCTTTAATTTTGTGTTAAATTTTGTATAAGTATCCTAAAATACATTTGCTAATGTATTTGTATTTTTGGTGATTAAATGTTTTAATAATTTTTCCTTTGTTGTAGAGGGATTTAAGAATTATGGAACTTAAACATAATTATGTATAATTTTAATAACACAAGGGAGAAAATTTAGCTTTTATATTGGTGATTGCTCATGGAGTTTCAGAGGAAATGTCTTGCTTAGGGAATTCCCCTAGAGACCAGGCCAACCTGGTGTCCCAGTGTATCGTTAGAGGTAAGCATTGGCGAAGGGCAGAAAAAGATTGGGTCAGTGGAGCCAGGTTGAGAAGAACAATGATTCACCTCAGTACTTTGTTTTGTTTTGTGTTTTGAGACAGAGTCTCCCTACATAGCCCTGGCTGTCCTGGAACTCATTATGCAGACCAGGCTGGCCTCCAACTGAGAGAAATCCCACTATTTCTACCCCTCCCCCCAGTGCTGGGATTAAAGGTGTTTGACACGAAGCTGGGGCTCCCACCTTAGTCTTGAAGGGGCTAACAGAACGTTGAGCTATCATAGAAAAAAGAAACAATGAAGGGTTGGGGTGTGCCTGACAGTGGGTCTTCTTGGTGAGGCTGTAATAGTCTGATTGGAGAAGTTCCCACTGTTATCTCTTTAGGGGAGCAGGCTGGTTTCTTTGAGATGACTGCTCCAGGGTACAGCCTTGCCGGAATGACAATTGCCCTCATTTAAGGTGTGATCTGCCCTGCCAGGCTCCCTGTTGCTTGGGGCTAGTTTTGGTCCTTCACTGTACATTATGTTTATGGGTCAGTTCTGTCTTTCCTAGAATTTAAGGTAATTTACAGGAGAAAGTGACTCAGGAAAAAAGTGGTCAAACAGAGCTTAAGGGGGACAAAACGTTAAGTTAGGGCAGCAACAGTGCTTTCCCTCATGACCCGTGGTCAGGTGCCAAAGGCCCACGTCGACATCTTGGCACGGTTTGACCTTTCAGTTTGCACTTAAAAAGTTTTAGCCAGCCAAGTCAGCAGCCCTCAGAAAGTTGCTTATAAATGGAAAGCAGATCCAAGCGGTGCCCTGCAGGAAGTAGAAGCAGCCGGGGAATTTGAAGCCATAATTTGGGGACTTCTCTCGGGGCTCTAAGCCAGGACCTGGGAAGTTTTTTCTTTTTTGGAGACTGAGCTTGGTCATGGAGTTGTCACTGGCCTATCTCTTGCTGTGTACTGGGTGCTGGTATTGAACTCTAGGCAGTCCTCAAGCCTCACCCCTTCTCTCGTGTTGGGATTACAAATGTGTAGCGGACTTTCATCAAAGCTCAGATAGTAAGTATTCTGTGGTATACAAACACAAGTACTGCTGATCAACAGTCTTTTACCCATGCACGCTGAAATGTTATTTTATATAATTTCCAAGGGTTGTGAAAATTCCTTGGACATTGTTTAATCATTTTAAGATTATTGTTATTATCAATATTATTAACATTTTCCTTTTTTGGTGAGTGTAAACAAAATACCTGATGACTGGCCAAATTTGGCCCTTTGTTTGCTAATCCAGGCAAATGAATGTTTAAACATCTTTCACATTTTTATTTCAGATGAGCAATGGAAAAGGCAAGTATTTTAGGTATAGATGGACAAGAAAAACTTGTAGTTACTGGTTTATTGTGCATTAATTGTATTGTTCACTGATGTACAAGTAACTTTCTGAAGGTCAGTGTGCAACTTCCTTATAGAAGCAAACCCAGAGGCACAAGGTGCTGGGTGTTGTCAGATTCCTCCAGGGTGGCCCTCCACCCCACCCCGAAGGCTGCTTCACTTGGTCAGAACCTGCATGCTTGCTCCTGCTTGTGGAGTTTGAGAAAAGGCTTCAGTGGGCGGGCCGGGGGGGGGGCTCCTAACACAAAAAGTTGGCAGTTGGGAGCGAGCCGGGTGGGCGGGGCGGGGCGACTGCCGTCTTTCCGGCAGGGAGGGAGGCAGCGGGAGGAGGCATTCGCTGCTATGGCGCTCCTGGTTGGCACGCTGCGTCTCCTGCTCGGCGGCTTCTTCACGCTTGCCGGGGCTGCTAAACTCTTGCAGGTCTCGGCCCCCGTGTCACAACAAATGGTGAGCAGCGCGGCAGGGACGCGCGGGGCCGGACGAGTGCTTGGTTCCCTCGGGCTGCTTGCTTTCTGGCGCGAGGGCGCCTAGGTGGTCCCTCTCCTCATCTTCTCTAGGTGGGAGGGGAAGGGACTTATACTTTGGGCTCCAGCTGAAGAAATGATGGAACTCAGAGGGTTCAGGAAGATGAAGTGGGAAGGTGACCCCTCCCCATCCCACACTCACCATCTAGTGTTCCAGTTTGGGGGAAGGTTAGTGAGGCAGATTCATTCATTCATTCTTTTTTTTTTTTTTTTTTTTTTTTTTTTTTTGATGGTCTCCTTACTATGCAGCTCTGGCTAGCCAGGAACTCACTATATAGACTAGGCTGACCTCGAACTTGCAGAGGTCCATCTGCCTCTGCAAGGGATTAATAGCGGCTTGTACCACTTTAGAAATCTTTTATAAGCTTAGGAACTAGCCCTGAAGTTAAAGTGTAATTTGCCAAAAGATGACACAGTTAGTTAAGCAAGGCCCAAAGTAGACTAACCGAACCTAGATTCCACAGCCTGGAATGGAAGCCTAGAAGTCACCCGACTGTAGTTCCTTATCCTGGGAAAGTCAGTCCACCAATACTGCCAGGCTCAGTGGAGAATCCCCTTAATCTCCTCCCAAGCTTGTATCCGCCCCCCCCGCCCCCCCCCCCCGCCTCCTGGAACTAAGGTGGTGGGTTTTTAGGGGTAGATCAGGTAAGAGCCAGACAGCTTAAACTCTGAAAGTGTGTCCCACCTGTGGCCCTTGGACCACATACACTCCAAGATAGCTGTCAAACGTAGCCCAACACGAAATTGAAATTTAAAACACGTGATTTCTTAAAAAATTCAGTTGTGGGGTTCTGAAGCAATTTTGTAGATGACGACACTATGTCATGCTGTCAGAAGATTAGACACACTGGAGGGCAGAGTAGGAGAGGCAGGGCTGCTGTTGGGCCATAGGAAGCAGTCCCGCGGATGGATCCCGCGGATGGAGCTGGCCCAAGGAAAGGTCTGGGTAAAATGCATTACAGAGCCCCTCAGCTGTTGTGTCTGCCACGGTGGGATCAGGACCCGCGGAGGAGATTGGAAATGGAAACCAATCTTTAAGGAGCGTTTTCCATCCCACCTCCAAATGTTCTGCAGGAAGAGAAACTAGGCGAGCCACAAAGAATCTGTGGCTCTTCCCAGGCCCTGGCCCTTCCGGCCCAAGTCCTGTACCCTTTCTTGGTATTTGTGGCTGGCTTATACTCTGTGGACAGGTCTGATTCTCGAAGGTCAATCTCATCGGGTGGTCCCCTCCTTGCCAGGCTCTTAACCTGGATCTGGCCTCTGTTTGTAGTGGCTTTGATGACACGCAGAGGCCATCTCTGTGGTACTTCCTGAAGAACACAGCTGACAGGCATTCCCTGCCACTCATAGAGAGCATTGTTCGAGCAGTTTGCTGAGGCGTTTCCATTGAAGTTGTTCGGCTACCAGCCAGATCCTAGAAACTACCAAACAGCTGTGGGCTGGCTGGAAGTGCTGGCTGGGTTGCTGCTGGTCGTGGGCCCACCTGCGCTACAACAGATCAGTACCCTGCTCTTGATCCTGCTCATGATGGGTAAGGGGGCAGCCGGGGTCTCCTGGGGATGATGGGAAGATTTAGCTGTCCTTATTGCTGCCCTGTCTCTTCTCTGGGACCAGGAACACTTCCTGCTCGGCTATAGCTTCCATGATATTGAAATGCTACGGACCATATCCTGGCTGTTGTAATACTGTAACATGCTTTTCCCATCATTTCTGTGGCTGCATAGTGTTCCAGCATGAGCATGGAGTGTAATCTCCCTATGCCTTCCTCTACATGCTCACTCCTGGAGGGCATGGAGCAGCAGCTGCCAGTTAATGTAGCCAGCATAGTGGTTCTCAATCTTCCTAATGCCGTGACCCTTTAATACAGTTCTTCATCTTGTGGTGACCCCCAACCATAACATTATTTTCATTGCTACTTCATAGCTGTAATTTTGCTACTGCTATGAATAGTAATCTAAGTATCTGTGTTTTCCGATGGTCTTAGGCGACCCTTGTGAAAGTGACATTCAACCTCAAAATGGAGTCATGACCCACAGGTTGAGAGCCTGAGCTTGTGAACTAGCGTTCCCTGACCAAAGAGGTAGAGAATTTCTCTAGAATGCGCTGTCTCTGAAGGGAAGAAGTGCCAGTGTACAGAGCACCCGCTGCTGCTTCCAAGGCTAGACAGCATCACAGTATTCACTAAAAGTCTTTCCATTTCTAAATCATTACCTCACTTCCACCTTAAGCCCCTAGCCCTCATTTTGAATCCTCCAATAGAATTATTGAGAAAGATTTGGGGGAAAGCTAGTTCCCCTATCCCTATCTTCTCACCTTGACTCTCCCCTGCTCCGGGGCTTGCATTACTTCTCAAGGTTTCTCATTCTTTGTCCTGCTTCCTGGAAGAGGTGTGGAGGAGCGTTTAATGGGAGGGCCTGAGCTGAAATGAGTCAGCCTGGGCTGGAATCCGACTTCTTGGATCTTCTAGATGTTTATCATTTCTGTTGTAGGAGCTATCTTCACGTTGGTGGTTCTGAAAGAGTCGCTGAGGACCTACATCCCAGCCGTTGTCTGTCTGGGGCTCCTGCTGGTGCTGGATACCTGCCAGTTCTTAGCTCGGACTAAGACGGACTAAGAAGATTCCTGGTGCAGTTGGGAAGCCTGGCAATTGAGTCTTTATACCATGCATTTACCACAGCAGGAACAGTCACAGAATAGTGTCTACCATTTTGTTAGGCCTACAGTCATTCAGTGTAAAAGATACCTCATCTAGATCCCAATCTCCCCTCATAACTACATTGCTCTGTTTTGAGTGGGGTATTAACATTCATGTCACGTGAAAGCAGGAAATAAGCAGAAATTAAACCACTCCAAATTATAATACCCTATAAATAATCATTTCATTTTGGTGTCACTATACTGTTGACATTTTCTGATTGTATACAGATTTAATTTTCTTAAATGCAAATGAGACAGTATAGCCTACTTTATTGTCTGCTGTTAAGACCCAGTGTTCTGCCAGGCAGTGGTGGCACACTACTTTAATCCCAGGACTCTGGGAGGCAGAGACAGGTGGATCTCTGTGAGTTCAAGGCCAGCCTGGTCTATGTAGTGAGTTTCAGGACAGCTAGGGCTATACAGAGAAATCCTGTCTGGAAAACGCAGGAAAAAAAAATCCAGTATTCTTTAACATTCCTTTTACTTTGTCAACGTTAGTGGCTTTAAGTGCTCTGTCCTAGGAGTGCATGGAGGTGAGGATGGAAGGGTGGCTCAGATGCTAAGAGCACTTGCTGCTTTTGCAAAGGGCCAGGGTTCAGTTTCCAGCACCCACATGGCAGCTCACAACTGTCCCTAAGTCTAGTTTCAGAGGCTCTGACACCTTCTGGCCTCCTGGAGTACCAGACATGTGCGTGGTACAATACACACACACACACATCTGTGTATATGTGTACTATGTGCATATATATGTATATGCACATATATATTAAAGCAACGCACCTATAAAATAAAAATAGTTTTAAGGATGTGTTCTTAATTCTACTTCCTCCTGCCCATGAGGAATATGCTGTCTCAAAAGCATTCACATCTAACACGCTTTAAAGTTTACAAGCTGACACTGCAGAGTGTGTCTGATTTCTGCCTGTGCTTACCTGAGTCCCTTGAGAGATTTCTTGCCATTTCTCTATTTGACACTTTGCAGAGCTGAGAGGCACCTTTTGAAATGGTGAGGTGTGGCTCTTAGTCCAGTGTCCCTTACCACCTGAGTAGAGGGTGGGGGGGCAGCTAGATCTTGGCAATGTTAAATGACTCAGCAGTGTCTAAATGTTGTGGGGGGGGGTGAGGAAGAGAGGGAGGGGTTGAATATTCATAGGAAACATGTTAGGGCACCTAGTGTCATCTCCCCAGACCATCTTTGCCTGAGTCCACTGGAGTCCTTTTGGCAAGTGATGCTTCTTGTATGAGGGAAGATAGTGAGGGAAGAGAATTTATATTTTGCAGTTCTGGGGTGTGAACTCACAGCATCACTTAGGATAGGGAAGCACAGTACTCCTGAGCCTGAACCCTAGTTGTCTCTATTCTGAGACAAGGTTTTACTGAGTTGCGGAGGCTGGCCTTGAACTTCGTTGTAAATGAAGTTCTTATTAGGTCTAAACAATATAAGCCCAGAGACAGATATAGAGGAAAATGTTGAGAGATTATAGAGAAGGAGGAAGCCAACGCCACCTTCACTTCATTAGTTTCCCAGCAGAAAAGAGAGTGAGTTCCTGCTTATATCCTCTCTGCCCCGCCATCTCACTTCCTGTCTCTGCCCAGCCACCTTATCTTCTGTTTCCGCCGAGCCATCTTACTTTCTATCTGTCTGTACAGACCTCCTGATCTCTATGGTTAGCTAGTGACAGTGACAAGCTCCATCCTCTGATCTTCAGACAGGCTTTATTTGTACAAGCAAGGTAGCACCACACTTTGTAGCTTAAATAAGACTTGCACTGGAATTCTCTGCCTCCGCCTCTCTAGTAGCTGGGGTTACAGGCCTGTAGTAGGGCCAGCTGGAGTTTATCTGTGCACGTTTTAGCTACCCACCTATAAGATGCTTTGGATATAGGAAGATTAGCTTTTGGGAGCACACAGAGGTGAAAGTCGTATTAGTCCATTTCATGCTCAGTACTGAACACTAGTTCCTGCTGTGCCCTCACTTGCTTGAATCCCATGCGAGTTCATAATTCTTCTCTGGATCTTTTTTGTGTCCGAAAAGTACATTGATACACTCCACCTACAGCAAGGGTAAAGAAATAGATCAACGAATAGATAGTTCATAAATTATGTGACAGTATCACAACATTAAGAAGGGGTTGGTGAGATAGCACTGGGTAAGGGTGATTGTCACCAAGCCCGATGACCTGAGTTTCACCCAGGACCTATATGGTGGAATGAGAACTTTGGAAG